GCGCGTGTGTGTGGCTGCTTGTACTAGTCCGGACTGATGCCGATTTATAGTGCTAGCTCACTGATATACCATGCCGCAGTTTAACATGAATACCCCACTCAGACACAGTATACTGACTCCGAGCCGACCAGTCCTTGTTTTAGCCCCTTAATGCCGAGCGCCAGACACAGTAACAACAAGCACCATCTTTTAACGTCTTTTGGTATGACACGGCCGGGGATCGAACCCCGGACCTTCCGCTCTCCGGGCTGACGCTCTACCACTAGACCACGGAAGCGGTCCAACTGAAAATGAAGCTTCAAACTCTGTTAAGCGTAGGAAGAGACCCTATACCGATACATCGGCATATGGTCTCTCGTGTATGTGAAGGGAGCCCGCGAGTGGGTCGACTCATCAAGTCAGCATTTGATTCACCTGTTATGACACTGGTTATAATTACTGTTAGCTACCATACCCGTTCAGTGTCGGAGCACGACAGATTCGCGACATATGCATGAGCTTGCATTGGTTTACATTGGAAATAACATTTGAAATGACTGTCCACTTGGTCCAAGGGACGCTACTCTCACTTACAACACGCAGTTCAAAGTCGTAAGCAGACGCAGCGATGAATGTTGTGATGATAATTCGACCTCACATTTTGTTCATTCGTGACCATGACCTTTATAATGCCATGACGCTTACCTTGCACACAAATGAGAGTCTGTATAGTCTTTCCATGTCAAATGTATGACTGTGTTCCCGAGTTCTGTGAAAGATTAGAGGCAACTGCATAAATATGCAAGTAAAATATGTCGATACAGTTTTGAGATGCATGCGCAGTGTGTCTGTGCGTCTGGCGTTAAGTGAACAATAGTAGTACAGAGCGGGAGTAGATATCCATCTAGGAGTAGAGTAGTCGTGCATCGTGCAGGATGCCACCAATCGAATGACCAGCTGATGCGCCAAATAGTCCCGTCCGCACATGATATTTAATAACGCTTTCCACGGATGAATAACACATATTATGGCACTATTGACATCATATTTAATAGGGGAATAGCGTTTCCATGGGTAGGTCATAACAAGTTCTTCAGAGTGGTGGAGAGACCTAGTCAACTTTGTGCAAGTCAATTTTGCCCATGTAGTTCCTTGTTGCAGCCATACATGCTTAATAATTAGTATGAATGTCAAATGTCAAAATCCTGAACTTGTTTGACCAGTAAATGGAGGGGCAGTTCGAATTCTATCTGCCATTAGCTATATGTAAGTGGCTTCTGTAAGCGTCCAGACATATTGATTAAAATGCGTTCAATACTAATCGTTTAGTTGACTAAGTGACTGTAGTTGTAAGGGGGATTAGTCACGACATGCTTGAACCGAGCTAATGTGGATGAGCGTTTCGACAAACACAAGCTTGACTACCGCTGAGGAGAGACACACAGCTTAGGCTTTTTACCACCCACCACGAAGTGGTGTGGGGGATATAGGAGGCGAGGTGAAATGGGGTTTAAGGTCGCGTCCAAGATTATTACTCTTATATAGCGACGTGCATGCAAGATAGCGCTTGCTGGTAGGTGACGGTATTGATCCTCTGCCAAGTAGCTACTCAGACACTTTGTTATCTCAGATAATGATATTTGAAACAAACACAACAGGAAGTCCACACGACCATGTCAGAAGAACTTCAATGATATTTCCCCAAGCTGCCCCTTGCCTCACCTTGAAAACACTGAGCCCAATCTGATAAGAGTATGAGTTTTCACTACCCAGTACCGATTTTAAAGCGTTCTTGTCGTCATGGTAGGATGGGGTGAGTGAGCTAAAACTTTAAGTCACATCCAAGTGTTTCTTAACAAAGGGAAAACCCGAATAGCAAACTAACTACTAAACCAATACGCAAGATTAGTACCAAAATAAAGCGCTTAACATAAGCTTATCCAATAGCACCACTACAGATTTGCAACTAGATATGTACAGCTTTTGTGGTGGCTTAAAAAACACAATTACTACCTATCTACAAGTACGAGATAATCCCGTTATAACGTGAACATCATAATCACAAAAACATTATTTTATGCACATGAATACTGTAGAAAACTTATATGAGATTATGAACATTATTATATCAAATCCACACATAATAAAAGTGTGCTATTAAATCACTAGAGTATAAAACATACAGGCCACAAATTCTCTAACAAGGAAGAGATAGCTGTACGGTCACTGGACAGCGACTAGTTTTTTCGACCCGGTGACAGTGGTTAAAACATGTTATTTACTAAAATGAATACGTTTAGAATATATAAAACCTGTCGACAAAGGACAGTAAATTAACTAGATGATCACAAGAATTGTATTTTAATCAAGCATGTAACCTTAAACAAATTGGCACTATACATAACAACACAACTTAAAAGACGGGCTATGGATCGCCAGCAACCAAAGTTAGAGGCTACATGAATTTACACAATCACTTGTCTTTGGCGATTATCAGAAAGTTAAGCCTGAAATTTAAATCAACAAGTACGATTAAAACAGTCGAAAATATAAACTCTCTTTGAATGTCATGGACTTGCGACACCCTCTAAGCGGAACAATAATGGTGGAATGGAAACCTGTGTTTTGTCATTTTGGGTAGTCTAACTGTAGATCAGATAACTCATTTTAATTCGGAGCCGAGCCTATTAGCGCGAGGGTTCAAATGTAGAAAACTAGTCTATTTCGCCGATGTTGACGGGTTCAGTTACACGTGGTCTACCCTTTCGTGACCTGTCTGGTTGTATTGCTGAAGTAGTTGGCAATGGTCAGTTGGCTGAAGCCGAGCGTTCTTGCACTATGGACCTGCGTAGCCCATATCACACTCTGGTATATGTGGATGGTGTTAAATGAGTAAAAAGTAAAAAGACGCATTGCCGCCGTGACTACAACTGAATTGTGCACAGGGGCAATGTCCTGGTGGAACAATGGCAACCCACCTTAAAGTGAGTTTTCCACAACATTTAGCATTGATATTGTCATGCAGGCATGAGCAGATTAGCTTACTATTGGCTATTAATGGTCTGCTCTTTCGGGAAGAAGTCCACTGGTACGATTTCTTTGGAATCCAAGAAAACTGAAGCCATCAAATTGCCAGCTGAAGGAACAGACATAAAATCCCTTTTTGTGTTTCACAGGTCGAAGTCAGTATTTTATCCAATTGTGGTTTCCAAAGTCATGTCGAGATAACCATGTGTTTGTGTAATTATATTACTATTGGCTCCGCCCAGTATACACACGTACATCTTCATAAGATCATGGCTATCTTAACCTGTTACAGGTAAGCCGCAGCAGATTACGTATGGTATTCAAACAAGGCCTGATACGGAACCGTTATATATTATAGACTCTTCATAGCAGATCTGTTCTTATGATAACTACGAATCTATTATATTTCTTGATATTGAACACGATTTTCATGGAGTGTCGGCCAACGTGAGGAGCATATTTCAGAGAATCTCCATTGAGGCGAACTAGGACACTGCCACGGTGCTTAACTGGTAACACAAGAGTAACACAGCACCTACAGATTAGCCGACGCTGTTGACAAAAGGTGGCTTTATAGCGTACGCAGTCTTGACATTGAGCAAAAACGCAATCAGACGCATTGAGGCGCATAGACAAAGATAAAGCAAATTGAATTTTAAGGATTTATTGACACTGGACACGAAAAGTCAGAGCTTAGCTCACTGATAGTAAACTAGTCAGTGCTAAATATACAATTGACCTGATCGAAATGCGCAGAGGGGCCTCAATACAGAATATCTCGCCAGGATGCCAGTAACGGACATCGGTTCAAATCCCCTTGTAGGCAACGACCTCTGTCTTCACACCTTGACAACGACTGTTGATCGACCGCCTCCGCGGTCTGGTGGTAAAGCGTTCCCCCGGAGAGCGGAAGATCCGGGGTTCGATACCCAGCTGTATCATACCAAAATAAGTTCAAAGATGGTACTTGTTGTTACCCTGTCTGGCGCTCTGCATTAAGGGGCTAAAACAAGGACTGGTCGGCTCGGAGTCAGTATACCGTACCTGAGTGGGGTATTCATGTTAAACTGCGGCATGGTATCTCAGTGTGCTATAAATTGGCATCAGTCCGGACTAGTACAAGCAGCCACACACAAACAACCACACAAGTGCATGTACGTCTCTATATAAGTGCAATGATCTTGGACGCGACCTTTAACCCCATTTCACATCACATATGAATAATATACGAACCTCTTTTTGTGGTGGAAACATTACAAACCGATTAATATTTTTATAAAAATATACAACGAGTCGTGACCCGATTGGAATAATTCTTATGTCTTAATTGGAAATGTCACTACATTCAGAGTACTACTTGTTTGTATTTCATATTGTAAGGTATTTGTCTGAATTATCAACATCGTACACAAGCACGTGGAAGGACAAGGGCCAGGCCAAGGTGAACTGTTTACGTCTAGTAAAGCAATTGGGCAAAGCAACATGGTCACATACCCAAAATATAGGATGTAAAGTAGTTTTTTTATATGCCACTATAGCCACCATTCAGAGAACGTTTTGTATTTGAAAATGGTTTCCGTCTGGAGCTTTCTTAATGTCTGGGAAAAGATTGAAGTCTATCGGAGACAGATAAGGTGGATTCTGAAGTACTTAAAAACCACACTCGTAGTTTGCAGCGACCATTTCTCGCTTCACGTCTCATAGTCTTAATTTCATTCTTCAGTTGCCCCAAAAGTGCAGCTTACTATGCGCCGTGTATTGTCTGGGTTTTTGAAAGATTGTTCACCCCAATGACACCCATGGCATCCCATAACCTTTCCAGCACATGGGACAGACGTTGCCTTCTTTGATGGTGATCATGTCAAATGCTTCTACTATTTTGATTGTTCTTTTGCTGGCCGTGGTGACCTCGGGTTCCGACAATGTTCACAAACTGATGCTCGAACTTTCTGGATCAGCTTCAAACAGAGCCAGATTATCCAAATGTTGACATGTTGTGCCTGCTATTATATGTCACAAGCTTTCAGATTGGAACCTAACGAACTGATTCTTTCTTCTTTACTAAAGTGTCTGTGATAACGGAATGGTCTCTCTCCTGGGAAATGTTTAATGAACTAGCAATATGACGCCGAGTCATGCGCCCGTCGGCCATCAACATACCGTGGATTCTCTGGATCATTCCTGGTGATGATGTGACAGCCCTTCAAGGACGGGGCTCGTCTTCAAGCTCCTCTCTGTCACCCTGCTGCCCAACTTGTTTTGGTGGCATAGAAAGTGACATCCTTCCCTAGAATCTTCATGGATGGCGTTTGGTGTAAAGCCCCTTTTCTGCAACGTTTTCCACAGCAATTGTGAAAACAAACCACCAACTATTTCAGTCCCTTGCCCAGCCATGTTTGTTCTATGTTTTATGCATGTAACTAGTCGTGGAACTCAACACGTATTTACGATGTTGTAAAGCTTAACCTTGAACTGTCCGTTGCACTCGGACCAAAGTCGTTATTGTTCAAGTAAACTGTATCATAATGACAATTACGATTGCTTACCAATGAGCGCGGCGTTCGTGACGTGCCAGCCAGATATATGTACTGTACAAAGGGTACTCCAATCACCCCGTGAACAAGGCTCTCATTACAACCTCGTTTCTTGATAATCATATCAACTTGTCATGCATTGACAACTGTAGCGTCTACAATCTCGTCAGACATGTTCTACGGTGTGATTGTCATTTTTCTATACGTACAGAATTTGGGTAAGTACATACATTGAATTCTTTCATGTTCATGTTTCATGTACGTACTATTATCATACATACACCGTCGCGTACTTTAAATGCAATGTGTTGAGAATAAGTGAATTCAATAACAGACACGTTTGTGGTATATCCGTTATATCCACACAAACACATACGTAAGATTCCTGTACTATGTGGAATACAGCTACAGGTTAGATTGATCTTAAATGAGAAAACGGCTGGTTAATTACCTGTTATACACTCTTATTAATTTTACATTATAAATACTTTACTCAACATAAAAGAGTGCAAATGGCAATTTTAAATAACTGGTTTCACGTGAAATAATATTTATTCAACGTTCTTGAACAGCTACAGCACTATCGTTTTTAGAGATAGTTGCTATTTCCGACAGTGCTGTTTATCATTTGTGTCACGGCAGTTTCCTCGCATCAGATTATGTCGCTGTAATTCTACTGAAAGTTTCTTGTTTCGTTATTGACATATATCGGACACATTGTGGTAGGTGAATTATGGCTGTGTAAAAATCATAAGACGTGAAACTATGTCATAGATATCATGGTTGGATCCTTCGTCTGATTGTTAGACTTTGTGCCGGCTCCGTTTATGATTGTACCTGACCAGATAGTTCAGTATCGTCATGGGCGTATCTTAATATTGAATCGTTGGTTTGGCAGGGTTGGTATTCAGGTCTCAAAGACATTTAAACCCGAATCTGTCATTCATTATCCTTGCAATATTCCAGCTATATGACGGTGGTCTGTAAGAGAGGTTGGACCAGACAATACGATGACACGCATCAACCAAGTCAGCGAGCCTGACCATCTGATCAAGTTAGTCGCCACTTACGACACGCATAGATTGGTGAAGACCAATTATAACCCCTCCATTCATTCAACAGATTGAGGAAACAGTTGTTAACAATTTGTGAACATATGATATTTTCAGATGGCATTCCATGGCCTCTAGAGACTGCGACCGGGTGTTATGGAAATACTCAAGATGACTTCCTCATACCATCATGCAATACTTCATACGTTATGGCCGTCAGTGGAGTGTTTGCAATGGCAAAGGAACGGAACACACATTGTCCCGAAATAGCGCTGCCCGATGACAGAGATGAGGAGAAATGCTGTCGAGTAGCGCCAGAGGATTGTAAAATGATTTACACAGCCTCAGATATGACGTTTCATTCAGAATGCATTGGATTGGAGACTTGCAAGAAAAAAGTAGCTTGGGCTGTCACCACATGCAATACTACTATCTTTCTTGACAAATCAAATTATATGATGATGGAATTCTACTGCATTGCAAGTACGTTTACAAATATCACAAGACTATTTTAATACCCGTTCAAAGATTCTAACTGACTTACACAAATATGATTAGACGCATTTCCTCTATTTAGTTTAGACTTTGATAGATGACTTTTGGACATATATTCAGGATACGGACAACATATCTGTTGCGATTAGAATGCAATAATAATTGTCTGACATCATTATCATTATATTTTGTATTTATGCATTTATATACCGCACCTATCCTGGTACTAATATCTGACTAAATGCGGTTTATTTGTTCACCGGCCAGTGGATCCGTATGCATTCCAGGTATCATTCTTAATTCCCTTGGGAGTATCCAACCCAAGCTGCCTACGGGCGCTATATAGATGTTTATGTCCACCTCAAGTATCGGGTGCCCATTCCCCGTTGGGCGAACAGAGGCACATTTGAACAAAGTCACTTGCCCATGGTGACACCACACGTTTTGACACATATGTATGAACGTATTCAGGTTTCCATCATCTCGTCATCTACCATCAGATGAGTGAGTCCGTAGTTTAACCTGAATACCCCACCCAATCACAGTATACTGACTCCGAGCCGACCAGTCTTTATTTTAGCCCCTTAATGCCGAGCGCCAGACAGGGTAACAACAAGTACCATCTTTTAACGTCTTTTGGTATGACGCGGCCGGGGATCGAACCCCGGACCTTCTGCTCTCCGGGCCGACGCTCTACCACTAGACCACGGAGGCGGTCTTTTGAGTGTACAGGGTATACTGTATACTAGGGTTGTGTCAACACCGTAAACGCCCGTGAACGTTGTTGGTTCATAGGCTGAATAAAAACCTGGTCACAAGCAGGATATGACCTCAACACCTGGCTCTTCAGACCGATTGCCCACTCTGCTCCAGTGGAAATAATCACAACTAACATTCCGTGTATGCATATTTAAAAAAAAGAGAGTTAATATCAGTTTAGGGAAACCAAAAAGTTTTTTCCTGAATCACTATTTTCCGGAAAATAGTATATGTTAACAGTAATTTTAGTATCCTTACTTTCGTTGGAATTTTAACTTTTGATAAAACTGTCTGTTCATTTGTCTACAGGGTCTTTGATCCTCAATGTGAGCGACACAGAAGCAGGTACAACGAAAGGATCCGCTGTGTATGTACAAAACCAAGGCTATCCTAGTTCGTCAGAAATAGGAGGATCCTGCAGCGTCTCCTCCTCCTGCAATGCCACCATAGTGGTAACTGCCATACACCTCAGTCTTAACGTTAGCAGCAGCTGTTCACAACATCTGGATATCACAGATGGAAGCGTGAATCAGATAATAAACTGTTCACAGAACAACGGTGCCGATTTTGCTTTTAAAGATCTGTACACAAGCACCAGCCATTTCCTTTTTTTTGAGTTTACTACCCTCGTGCCTGGCGACAAGGGGAAGCTGTGGATAGAGGTTAGAGGTAATATATAGCGCAAGGGTTTACATTGTTTCTTATCAAATACCTTTAAATAGAAGATTTAGTCGTAGCCCACAAGGTACGGACACGATGAACTTCGGAATTGAATTGATGATTAAATATTTAATTTTAGAAATAACTTTATGAATGTTTGTATTGTGTACTGAACACTTATATCAGGTTTAGTTGACGGCCATAATGTTACTTTTCATAAGGTTCAAATCCATATTCGATCATGGACCTGCGATGTGGGTCGTCTGCAGTTTCTACACCTCCGCCTGTAGACGAATGCCCTGTTTACACAACTAGAACGCTGTCAACGACATCAAAACCAGCGTCAACAACTACAGCATTATCTCATATGTTGTCAACGTCGGAAAGGACATTTTCCAGCATCCCCGGAAAGCCTATGCGTAAGCATTGACTGGTGCCGATTGATATAGGCATTTGAATAATATTATCAAAATTCGATACGTGTGTGCCACTCGTTCTTACAAACAAATAGAATCGATTGTTAGTCACGTACCTGATTTTCTCAATATGTAGCATGTATACAGGACTTGGTGTTGAACCTCCTACTGATAATTTCGCTCAGAATTGTCCCTTCAACTGATTTATGTTTGACAGATATGTTTGACGTATCCGCTGACAGATATGATAAAAGGAATATAGCATGGCACACAACCCGCAATGAAGGAGGAAATGCAAAGTTTATGAACTTTAGTCCCACCTACACAATCTACACAATTGTCCAGTTTCCATTTATGTAACATGAACATACATCTCCCTTCCACTTTCAGAAAACTGGCAGATAGGATTACTCGTCACAGGAGTACTTGCATTGATAGGTTTCGTGGCACTACTTACTTGTTTTTTCCTGAAGAAAAAGAGTGCGAACAAGGTTTGATTCCATTTCTTTTCTAAACTTTCGTAGCTTCCAATTTGACACTGTTGTAAACTCTATTAACTCTCGCTTGCCTAAGAACAAGGATCAGATGGTCACAAGGGCTGATAAGTTCATAAAACTTGGAAACATATCTCATTTGTGAGATGTACCCCGTCATCACGGACCATTCGCCTCAGAATAGTATTTTTGTGTATAATAACATTTACTAAATCAACTACTTCTCAGAATGTGTTTTCAAAATTATATTATAATTCTATTTTTCGTAAAGTGAAATTGATAGTGAATCAACTTGACAACTTGTCAATTCGTTGTACAGGTAGACCTAGCTACCGCGACAGATCGGAAGGACAGTGATGGACTGCCTACTTACCTCTATGGCCCAGAGCCGGAGATAACTACACAGACTGCACCAGTGCAAGGACTGCTGATATCGATATACTCGCAATGGTCGCCCAGACAAACAGAAAATATGCGCGCTTCTTCAAATGATCGTGTTCCAAAGGATCTTTGGAGGTTCGACGATCCCAGAATACAGAATAAACCGAGTGGTGGTCGGACAACACTTCCTGCAGTTCGAGTAGCTGGACAACCAACAGCTCCTGTACTACACAGTGTGCTGCCATCATCAAGGGCAGCATCGCTAAATGGTCATGTTGTTAACGACACCGTTGCGGGAGATGTGGAACAGGGTGAACATATGCAGCCAGAAAGGAAGAGTAAAAAAAAGAAGCGGAAGAGAGACAAAATTAATGAAGATGACTGCAGTGCTACAGAAGGTGAAACTAGGAAAAAGAAGAAAAAAAAGAAGAAAAAGAGCGCAACCGATCATGTTGCAGATGAAGAATTGTGAAATTGTTTTATTTTGTCAACAGAAGAAGCCAATGATTTTGTGGTTGTGTTATGACTTTAACGACAGTTCCACAGTCCCTTTGACACTAACGGGCATTAAATGGTATTGCTCTTAATTCGTACAAGTGAAGCAAAATATGTCGTTTAAACCGTGTATAACTATTGCATTTTCATCAAAAGAATGTTAAACACAACATCCCGGACAACCTTTTTCAGTTATTTGCCTGGAAATGCAATTTACGCTGGTACTATAATTTAAATTACATTTTAATTCAAAACTTAAATTCGAAACACATCTGAGTAAATGCAGTGAAAAGGATTTTTAAAACATATTTTATTCATAAAAGTGTGACAATGAGAAGAGTTGCTCGAGTTTTGATAATGTTGTTGCATACAAGCACATATACATCGCATGCAAAATCAATTTGTGGTCGAATAAATATTGTACATGTCATGATCAGTATTTATCTTTTTATAATATTATTATACATTTCGTCACAGAACAAACCAGTCTGCAGTATACCCAATACACCAGTCTATGTGGGAAGGCCACTTGATGTCTGAAATAATTCTAATATGTGTTGGAATTTAAACAATAGATATATTTTGATAATTATTCAAAAGCCTTTATATATATATTCTATTTTTGTGTGAGAGTTTTACGGGAGTTGAAACAAATGAGCTAGGTTTTCTCCCATTTATTCAACTTCGATACATTGGAATTAATCTTTTCAAGTGAGATATGATTTATTTTCAGTTTCAAAGACCAGAGCCTGTATACAACACATCAGTACATAAACATTTTACTAACATATAACATAGAACACATGATATTATTATTGATGAAGGGACTTATGAAGCTTCCTTGTTTTCAATATGTATTTTGATAGCTGTACAGTTGTAAAGTTACAATTAGAAAACATAAGATTTACAAAAACGTCAATTGAAAGTTTTATGGAATAATTAGAATCAATGTAGATTAGTCTTTTGCCAGTAAAGAATTGATATTCGTTTTTAATCGTTCTAACGATATCGACATACAATATTTACATAATCTGTATTTTTGGTCGAGGCCTATGTGGAACAACTATGGATAACTTGTGACTCATCCTATCAGGACCCGACGCTTTATTTACGCATGACATTTTTATGGTAGTATTTATTATAATACACTCTAGAGACTGACATGTAGTCATAACCCAATGTGTGCTGAACGATACAACTATATGGTCATATCTGGTGTCATGCACATTAATAAGCGCAATGCCCAATGTGGCATAAATAGTTGGCAAATAAATCTATGCGATATGCAAATCATGTAATCGATATGTGAATGTAAACATCAGTTCCTTTGAATCCAGCCTTACGTCATACGTTCACATGGTTGAATGCATTCTGATATCCTTTCAACTAACTATCTTGCATGCTAATTGACGAGACCAAAGTTCTCTACCAACTTGCGGAGTTGCCCCAGTATATATACCTCATTTGTTGGCTGTGTCAAGCATATCTATACAACTATCAATACAGCGTATTATGATCACATGGTATATTCAATATTGATTGTAAGACGTACTTTGATAGATCGACATTCGTGGGTAACCATGCGCTCATAAAGACGTATTCGGTCTCGCACATTTGGAGCGACAGACCTCCTCTGAAGGGTGTTTGGTTTCTGTTCCGGATAGATCTACGAATGATAATGAATACGTTTTGTCTTTGTATGGTGACCTTGTCTTCGTACTTACATTGTGCAGGTATGGATTTCTTGATATTATTATATATTACACGGTGTAATATAACGTTTTGACGAGATATGTGTAGAGTTATCATTCGTCTTATTTGAACCGTTTGAACCATAACACATCTGTACATATACAACAAAATGTTCCAGGTGTATGTAGTGTCCATGTTCCGACCGATTCCCTCACTTATTAACACATCACATTTATACAATTGTAACAGCAATGCCGTACTCACAACTCTCGCCCTTATCACTATGTATACCTTTGCCACAATAGCCACTCTTAAACACCACATTCACTGTATCGGCCGATATCAACACTTTCACAGTTAGTCACGATTCTTTCACTCAACATTTCTAGACTCGCTCATTTTGACTAATGAGATTTCCCATTTCGGTAAATAGTTATTTGTACTCCATACTGTTACGTGTCGACCTCCAAATTGAAAAAAATAAGTTGACCCATCAATTTATACGTAAAGGAAGTCAGTGTGAAACGAACAAGCAACAAATAAATGATACAAATTAACAATTGTAGTACCAAATTAACTATATTTACAAATCGATACAAAATACCGTACAGCAAATTACAATGGCAGTACTCAAGAGGGCGGCAGTACAAAATTCAATGGCTGTATAATTCACACATCCGCTGGTCTTGGTGTAATGTGTGAGGAAATTGAGTGAGTGAGTTGGGTTTAACGCCGCTTTTAACAGTATTCCAGTTATATCACGAGGTGTCAGCTTAATGTGGAAGGAAAGCCCGAAGTGATACAGGTCTAAGACTTTTACCACTTCGGTGAAACCCACGAGCACGGGTATGGTGCTGACAAACCTAGAAACATAATCGGGGCGAACCCACAATCATAGGTTTCTGGCGTGCCCAAGGGACGCAACTCTGCACAGCGAATCGCGACGCCTTTGACGACTGGGCCACCCGTGCCCCCGTGAAATGAGAGAGTCATGTGCATGCCCCCTCACGTGTATATGGTCTTAATCACTTCTAGAAGGTTCTGTACCATACTGGAATAGTCTGGCTGTTCCAGAAGATTCCAGACCCGTGTTGGATTTATCTATATATGTTTTAGATGGTTCCAGATTAAACTTGACCTCAAAAGCATCAAAATATAGTAACTTCCATACCACTGCTTACATTAGATAGTACAACGTTCTTGACAACTAACTATTGTCAAAACACGATGCTATGAACTTCCACAATGTAACACAATCACAACACTTCTTTGCAAGGCATTTAGAAGTGATACACAAAAGGAAGAGAATATATGGATGTCAGCTTCTTTGTTATGAGGAACACAACGTATCGGAGTATATGCTTTCTCCTTCATCGGGTGTCATTGTGTTCCTCAAAATAAAGAAGTTGACATCCATATATTCTCTTCCTTAATCACAACACTGTTTAACAATAAATTACACTGCTATGTAACAATACAAGAAGCATATTTGCATCACAATCATGTTAGTTTGAGTTACAAATACAACTCTAACTACTACACTCTTTTTCAGTGTCGCTCGAGGCTGTTGGTTGTTATGGCAACACAGCGGACGATTTCCTAATCCCCAGATGTGATTCGGACAAAGTCATCGCCGTAGATAACTTGTATGCTATTGCCAAGAAAGTGTCTTCCAACTGCCCCCAAGAGTATACAACCAGTGTAGTGGCGAGCAGGCAGATGTGTTGCTCAAAGAACCCTGAAGACTGTGTGATGGACTACAGGGGCATCAGTGACTACCACACCGTCTGTGCCGGGGCGTCCTATTGTACCAAGAAGGTAGCATGGCAGGATACAACATGCAATGGGACTGGATATCTGGAAAGATCAAATTACATGCTGATGAATTATCGTTGTATAGCAAGTAAGTTCAAATACATCATAGCGTTTGAGTTAAACAATCCGAACATTATCATATCTCTCTACACAAAATATATCGAATGTGAGATGTCATCCGTCAAACTATCAAACACGGAAAATAAATGTAAGCATATCATAATGTGTAGGTATATACTGATTGATGGATATGAATAGTTTGTTCCTCCTCTTTTCCAAACGTGTTGCCGGAATAACCGAAGTATCAAACAGTCATATATCAATACAAAGGTCATTGTAATGTCCCCGCCGTCATATACTGCTGAAATATAGCGAGGAGAGGCATCAACCTTGCTCATTCACTAAAATGTAATACAATCTAACATTAGTCGTTGTGGTACTATGGTTTGGTGCACATCAATCTGGTATGAGACAGGATCACGGGCACGGTCAGCTGCAATGTGTTCAACTTTCTAAATGGTTTAACACTTAAGAATGATATATATTGCGTACCCACTGCAGACACATACTTATACATCCATGCATTGTAAACGGCATTTATTCCAGCATCCGACATCATATCTATTCCGTCAAATGCATCTAAAAACGGAAAGAATGTTACCATCCAGAATGAGGGATATCCGTCTTCAGGCATAAACCCAAACACTGACAGCACGTGCAGTGTCACATCGTCCTGTGATTCATCTATAGCTGTGACATCATTACATCTGGATTTTAAATACGACGCCGGTGGAGCCTGTCAGCAGTACATAGACATCATGGACGGTAGCTCTCGTAACAGAATAGACTGTCGCTACAACATGAACTACAGCTCTGGTACATTGTATACCAGCAGAGCACATTTCATAACAGTCAACTTAAGAAGTAACTTATCAACTAACAGTGGGCGCGTATGGATTCAATTTCATGGTAAGAAATATAATCAGCTTAATATATACACTAAATCTTTGATAGGGATAATCGCTATTGAAATATACACTGGACATATACTCGTGAAGATACGGGTGGAGAATAGGCCTTCGGAAACCCATGCTTTACATAAGAGGCGACTATGCTTTTCGTAAGTAGGCGACTAACAGCATCGGATGGTCAGGCTCGGTGACTTGGTTGACGCATATCGTCGTATCCCAATTGCACAGATCGATGCGCATGATATCAGTCAGTGGAATGTCAGGTACAGACTCGATTATTTACAACCCACCAGAGTTGTATGGTTCATTGCCTGTAGAATAATCAGGGTACTTGTATATGTTACCCTTGAGATAAAGTACCATTCATTTCCACTTCGACCCGCAACATATTTCAATACCACGTTAGGCCATCTGTATTATTTGACTCATCGCCCGTCGGTCCTAAATTACAGTCCCGCTCACATCTTCCTGAGGTAAGAGTGTTCACTATCCTATATCAAAGGCAAGTTTCCACCCTTGCCATTTCAAGCCTACTTTTCGTGGCTCAATCTTGGCGCAATCCCTGTAGGGCATGAGTTGTGTCCCTTGTGAAGAAGACGCAATATCCTATCATATCGCTGTTCTTATGTCGAAAACGACCTGGTCGATCAGATAATGAAAAGATTCTAGATTTATTGCTGACGAACAAATACAATGACGGATTACCACCATGAGCCACTTATTACTGACGCATTTCTCTCGTACAATAATGGAGGCATACAGACAGTATCAAGTAACATTGCACATCGCGGTAGCATGAAAAGCTCAGGAGGTTTCACCTAAAAACGCACGGCCATAAGCGTTCACTCGTTCGAGTTAAAAGATAATGAAGTTAGATCTCAAGTATATGATTGCTATTCTTTCGATTTCAAACCCTGTTTATCTTGTCTTTAAAACTTTCAGTCAGTTTATCGGTTGTATTCTCAACCAAAGACATGTTTTTCTTTCATTATTTTTATTTACTTCTCAACGCCCCTCTGGAGCATGGAGCACAGACAAAACAATATTTTGGTTATTTCTGTGGGCAAGGATTGTAAATTGGAAGTTGGAACGTAACTAGCAGTCAATGTCTATGTATAAATGTCAATTATATACAGCCACGCACTATCAAGCCAGCCTAGAGGTGCAATGTGGGACGTCAATGCTAACAGTTGCCCCGACTGTCCCAACGTGTCCAGAAACCACTACAACTTCATCTCCGACATCAACAATTGGTAAGCCCCAAAACCGTGGCAGGCACAGGGATGATGACGACCAGTCAGGTAGGTAGCAAATATATTGCCAAGCGTTTGAATTACATAATGCGATTTGTTTAAATGTTCGTGGTTAACCTCCACCAAATTATGGCTCAGGTTTCTGTATATTAGAAAACAATCAATAAGTATTTGGAAAATGTCACATTCGTCATACACTGGTATCGATCTGATTACAGGTATCGATCTGTGGAACATTTGAGAAGTTATTTGTCAAATGATGGTCATGGTTATTAATGACCGGTCACGCATTCAAAATACAACTTCAAACATATACTTGATATTTAATATCAGAACTACTTGTTTAATTTGGAACGAAGGAATGTTGTACTTAAGATGTTCATGTTAAACAACATGTAAGGCGTCTCTATTAACAATGTAACCTGTAAATAACATAATTGGAGATCTTTAATTATACATTATGTAATAATATTAATTACTTGATCATTGTTTCACATTTCCAGATGGCTTGAGCCCAGGGGGAACAGTCGGCCTCACAATAGGCGTTGTGCTGCTCGTCCTCCTCTTGCTGATACTTCTATGTATTTGCTGTAAAAAGAAGCAGAAGAAAAACGAGGCATGTAAACCGAAAAATTCCTTATTTACTATCGATGAGGAAATGTTATGCAGTAATATTTATTATCTAAACTGTTTCTTTGTGCGCTCAGGGGAACGTTGTATCTGTTTCGACAGACCTTGGTAAACAAATCTATCGGAAATTCGAGCAAAACGTGTTTTGAACGTTTTTTTATTACACTTACGATTATTTCAATTGACATTTTGCTATTTAACAGTTCTTGTGATTTCTGGATGGATCAGGGACCCTCCATCTAATGTTCTAGCGAGGGGATTAGGGGCTGGGGGAATGGGATGGTGGATAGAGGCAGTTTTGTTCTGTCCCTGCTTCAAAACACGCAGTTGTGTCCTGAGACATAAGGTGCAAACCGGAAACATATTTTATCAGGACATCCAGGTTATCCAGAAAACAATTCTCTATTCTAGTAAAATATTGTGATAAAATATATTTTGAATCAATTATATTTTGAAAACAACCAGAATACTAAGTGTCTGTCCTTCAAAATAGGCTCCATAAAGGTTTTGCTGTTGGTTACTCGTAAAACTAAATATGAGTTTTAAGACATTGCCACACAGGGTGGATGTATGGAGAACACTAACAGAGATGTATGCGTATGTTTACTAAGTGCAGTATACCCATTCCGGAAATAGCATGTGTATTTGCAAGTACGTGTGTTGTCTGTGTGACTGTTGTGGGTAATGCATTACACAAACACTGTCGCTCGTTACCACTCCTGACATTTCTTCACGATACATGGCCAGCAGGTTCATACTCGTAATATTTCACCAATTGAAAGTTATGACGTATATGTGTAATCAGATTCAGTAGTTCTATAAATCCATATCTCATTGCATGAGGTACAACATTCAATGTATTCGCCCATGAATCGTGATTCACGGGGAGTATGTACATTGTGTACGGAGTGTGTGCGTGTTTGAAAGAAAGGACTGCCCTGCGACGCACAGTATGTCTTCTGAACATAAAGAATGAATAAATGTCTTTGTTACTACCAGCCATTCAACTTACAGAAAACGTATTCTAAACCGGTCGTCAATACAACTATTATGCTGTATTGCCCAAACAATGCAGACGGGTAGTTATATCAACAGGGTTGGTCAAATAATTATCGAGAATAGTTCACGATATCGGGGACACTCAATAGTCGTTAACACAATATATTTTGGGACGAATATAGGACGTGATTTAAGGTTCAGAAATTGGAAAAAGCAGCAAAATAGTATTGGTGATAAAACGATGCAACTAAATTTAATGAACCAACGCAATCTTTGGCGATCGTCTTTTAGGTAAATAAACGTCTTTTTTTCTGTACACGCTGTACATAACGTATAAAACGTATCCACACATCTCAAGACTAGAAACGAACGTTATCATGATATCATTACATTTTATTAATCCTATTAATCAAAAAGAGGTGTTTTGTGAGTTTTGAACAATAATTCAGTAAAGTCACAGAGACACAGACCGTAGACATTTGGCATTTTTGTGACACTCGGGCGAACGATGTAAACTGCTGACATGCCTAGCATCATATTGAGGGCAAATGGTCACCTGCGCGTCCTTCGGCAATGGAGATCTGTCTAATGGAGATGTAAATGCAAGTATTTCGAAAGATACAAATCTATTTTTCAACCCTCGTTTTACTCTTATTCGAATCTCTCCGTTTTGGAGATCCTTTTATGTTATGTAGTGTAAGTTTATACATTCCAAATCTACCATCTTTTGTTTGGTATCTTCAGGTATTTCTCGCAAGCCAAAATTCCATTTTTCTGTTTCAGATGAAAGTAGGCAAAAGCCTCGACGATTTTCCTGATTCTGAGTTTGCTGAAGCCCTCGGTATCCCAGGAACATATACCGGCAGCACAGCCCCTGCTGGCTCCTTGCTTCACACAAAGCCACGGCGACTGACGCCAATAGAGGCTCCAGGAGAAGGGCATGTGAGGACAGCATGGAGCACCATCAGCTCCATGACACCAACCCTGTCGGTGATAAAACACATGTCATCGGCTTCTGGTAAAACAGATGACAGCAAGTCAACCCAACCTAATCGTATGAAGACTAATGTGTTTGAAATAACGAGAGAGATACTGGAACAAAACGGGAGGGTGCCGTCTCACGACATCAATCAAAATATGAAGAAATGGAAAGAGGCAAGCGGA